GCTGTGTATAAAATATAGGCTGTTTAAAACTACAGGAGTCGTTAAAATCAGTAAATATGCAAAAATACAATAATTTATTCCATGGAATAAGGTACTAATTGCTACATAGCTTGAGTCTTGAGACGTTCTGGAATCATACTGAATCTCCGTAAATATGACACTGAAAATTGTCTGCACCGTCATTTTCTCTCCTGTTACAGCCTAAATGCGCTCCTTGGCTATGTATCTGAACAGTAAAGTCGGTGTACCTTTCATGTATAAGATTGAGAGAAAGTTATGCTCGCACCTATTCAGTATAGTTGGTTTTACGCACGCTTCCCACAAATTAGCTTATATTTATAACATCCGGAAGTGACGTAATTGCTAATAGTGACGTCATCAGCGATCAAACTGTACAACAAAAACTTAGAATACATAGGTATGCGCTATAGTCTCATCAGACATATCAAATGTTAAATAAAAAGTGATAAAACAGCGCTTTTCCATGCCCATCATTTTTCAGACAATCCTGGACAAAACGTTGTGGACAACCCACAAAATTTGGCCTCGAATGGTGTTTTTTCTAAATAATTATCCCCCCGCTCCCCCAAGCCAATGTTGAATGGGATTTTTCATCAAATACGAAGTGTGGTTAAGTTGGATATGCAACATTGAAGAGGGGGAGTGGGGGATGTGCAAGTAAATTCAAGTTTTAGGTGTTTGTTATGATTTTTGCAAAAGTGGATTAAGTGTCCACATGAGTTTTGGCCCGGATTGTCTGAAAATCACTATAGAAAATAATAGACGGTTCTTGTATCTAATATGACACAAAACGGAAAAAATATGCTTTGTAAGTAAAATTGCGCTTGTTTGCATCTAAATAATCCATTTCTGATCATCTTTTGAAAAAAAATTGTCCGGTAAGGAACAGATTTCCTAACCAAAAAACGCGCCCACGAGCCTAATTTTTAGGAATAATTATGTGACGAGAATGACCGAATATATATTGTACAAGTTTGTTTTGCATTCTTGAAGTGCTTGAGAATCAAATTTATACAACTAAATGGCATTTTTCATACAAGTATTATAATTCGTTAACTGCAAGTCTTGCTGCTTACGATATATGCTAGTACGTTTGTCTGTTTTAACCATATATTACAGCTTTCTTCTGACAGTGCAATTTCAAGGTGCATCTAAAACTTGCTGAATACAATGCTTGACAGTAAACTATACATGATTTAAGGCAGGAACTAAACATCTGAATTATATATTAAGTTACAGGGCTTTGCTATAATTGTTAAGTTGATATGTTATATTTTCCGATCGAGTGACGTAATGTGTAACATAATATTCAAAGCTCGAAACACGGTCTACACTTTTTTTTGCAGTGATTTTAGAAGTATATAAGCGCGCAATCGATTAAAAATATAGATTAAAAGGCTTGTCCAATTACGTTTTGCACCAGTATGCAGCAAAACATATAAAATCAGCTATGCCTTAAAAATCGCCACGGTCTACACACAAAAATTATATTTTCATGAATACTAATGAGCTATGATCTATTATATTCAAAGAGCTACTTTTAATATGTAGACCGTGGTAACTTTTTATTTCTCTACTGTGTAAATTACGAAAACATTTTAATAACAAGTATAATATGTATAGGTAGTTCCCTAAGAAGAAATCGTTACATTTCAATGCAGCAATTGTGTATAATTCAAGTCCGAAGTTACTGTAGACCGTGCTGGCGTGCTAGTCGGCGCACAGTATTGAAAAGTGTAAGGCAATATTTCATTATTTGACAAACGCCAATTGTAATATAATATTTACAAGTATAAGTGCATTGTATGTATTTAATGGCTGTAGCTGGATCGAGTTCGCGTACAAGTTTATGATCGACACTTATCTTTGGAAATACTAAGAATACTCAATGTCAAATTATATTGCCTTTCAAATGGCGGAAAAGGTTAACATGATATATTTCATTTTGAGTACTGAAGCTTTTCCAGTTTGATATTGCAAGGTTCTTGAATGTCATTAGCGAGTAATATATTAGGGCTGTGTATAAAAATATAGGCTGTTCAAAACTACAAGAGTCGTTAAAATCAGTAAATATGCAAAAATACAATAATTTATTCTATGGAATAAGGTAATTGCTACATAGCTTGAGTCTTGAGACGTTCTGGAATCATATTGAATCTCCGTAAATATGACACTGAAATTTTCTGCACCGTCAATTTCTCTCCTGGTAAAGCCTAAATGCGCTCCTTGGCTATGTATCTGAACAGTAAATTCGGTGTACCTTTTATGTATAAGATTGAGAAAAAGTTATGCTCGTACCTATTCAGTATAGTTGGTTTTAAGCACGCTTCCCACAAATTAGCTTATATTTACAACATCCGGAAGTGACGTAATTGCTAATAGTGACGTCATCAGCGATCAAACTGTATAACAAAAAGTTAGAATACATAGGTATGCGTCATAGTCTCATCAGACATATCAAATGTTAAATAACAAGTGATAAAATAGCGCTTCTCCATACCCATCATTTTTCAGACAATCCTGCACAAAACGTTGTGGACAACCCACAGAATTTAGCCTCGAATGGTGTTTTTTTATAAATAATTATCCCCCCGCTCCCCCAAGCCAATGTTGAATGGGATTTTTCATCAAATACGAAGTAAATTCAAGTTTTAGGTGTTTGTCTGCCTCGTCCCCAGGCGCTAATAAAAAAATTTCATATGAAGGTTTACATGAAGTAGTGCATCATTATAGGCGCGCAAAGGAGAGTGGGATATGAGCGTTCTGGTTAGCGCCTGGCCGATCTTGTATAATATTTGTCGAACATACAAGTAAACAACAGATCTAAATATAAATCCCTTCATGTATATCACCAGAAAGAAATAAAGCTATCCTTACCTGAATTATTCAAAATATTGTCGATCGTTTGCATCGTGAAAATCAAACACACTGCATGTAAATAAGCTCGTAACTGAAATCTTGAGACGAATCTTGCAAATGCAATT